GATGTGCAGATCCCCACAATGTGTGGATTCCGGGGATGTGTGGATTCCAGGCAGGATGCCCGGCCGCGCTCCGGCTCTGCTCCTGCCCCGCGTAGCAGTGACAGGCTCCAAGCAGGCAGCAAAACAAGGCCTTTCTTTTCTGTTCTTTTTTTTTTAATTGCCAGAATTGTATTAATTTAAAAGGATAAACTCCATCAGCGGAGCTCATTAATTTCTAGCATATGGCTTATTTACACAGATTCCGGCTGCTCCAGCACGCGCTTTGCTGTAACTGGAATGTCAATTAAATTCTGAAATAAAAATCAATGTCTACTCGCTCCTAAAGATGAAACGTGAAGCGGCTTCCTCAGACCTGCTGGCGAGCTCCTGGGGCGGCAGGGCATTCCCAATCCCATTCCCAGTCCCGTTCCCGTTCCTGGATGAACTCCTTGCATGTGGAAGGTTGTTGCGAGAGGAAGCCCGGGCGAGCGGCGGGAGCCCCGGTGCTCAACAGCACCCGAGCGTTACCTGATTGCTCTGGTAATGAGAAAAACAAGGCTGAGCCCCTGGAGAAGAGTGCAAGAAATTACCCATCATTTTCAAACTTTTTTCCCTTCTCTATTATTCAGAATTGTTTTGCTTTTCTGAACTACCTTGTGTAGGTTGTATTAATCCCACAGATTCCAGAATGGGAGATGATGATTCACTGTCAAAATGTAGATTTTTTTTTCTTTTAGAAATGCTGAGGGAGTGAAGTTGCGGTGACACACGCGGAGCGCTGGCACCTCGCGGGCTGGCGCTGGCGGCACTCCGAGCCGCCCGGCAGCGCCAGCGCCCGGGGCCCTGGCAGCCGCCCGAGATGGGACCCCAGCATGGGGCTGATCCCCCTCGGAAGAGGCTGATCCCAGCAGGACGATGCTGATACCCCCAGCGTGACGCTGATCCCCTTGGGATGAGGCCGACCCCTTGGGGTGATGCTGATCCCCTTGGGATGAGGCTGATGCCCAGCAGGACGATGCTGATTCCCAACAGGGAGCTGCTGATCCCCCTGAGAGGATGCTGATACTCCCAGGGTGATGCTGATTCCCCTGGGATGAGGCTGATCCCAGGAGGACAATGCTGATGCCCCTGGGATGAGGCCAACCCCTCGCAGTGATGCTGATTCCCGCCCGGGGCAGTGCTGAAATCCCTGGGGGTGACGCATGGGCTGTGCCCTCGCCACGAGTTTGCAGGTCTGCCCCAGCATGTAGCTGTGCGCATGTGCACCCATGCAGCCATGCACCCCGTGCATGCAGCCCTCCACCATGCATGTATACAGCCTCGCACCCCGTGCATGCAGCCCTCCACCATGCATGTGTGCAGCCCTGTAGCTGTGCATGCACGCCGCCGTGCACATGTGCAGCTGCGCGTCCTGCTCCGCAGCCGCGTTGCATGCACTCCCCCGTGCACATGTGCAGCCGCGCTCCCTGCTCCGCAGCCTCGCTGCATGCACACCGCCATGCACATGTGCAGCTGCGCGCCCTGCTCCGCAGCCTCGCTGCATGCACGCTGCCATGCACATGTGCAGCCACACACCCTGCTCTGCAGCCGCGTTGCATGCACGCCGCCATGCACATATGCAGCCACACACCCTGCTCTGCAGCCGCGTTGCATGCACGCCGCCGTGCACATGCGCAGCCGCACACCCTGCTCCGCAGCCTCGCTGCATGCACGCCGCCATGCACACGTGCAGCTGCGCGCCCTGCTCTGCAGCCTCGCTGCATGCACGCCGCTGTGCACATGTGCAGCCACACACCCTGCTCTGCAGCCTCGCTGCATGCACTCCCCCGTGCACATGTGCAGCCACACACCCTGCTCCGCAGCCTCGCTGCATGCACTCCCCCGTGCACATGTGCAGCCGCGCGCCCTGCTCCGCAGCCTCGCTGCAGGGACGCGCGCAGCCGCAGCTCGCTGGCGAGCGCAGCCTGGGGAGGGCGGATGGAGCGCTCTCCATCTCTGCAAGCATCTGGGAGGTGGGTGGAGGGTAAAAAAAGATGAGCCCTGAAGTTTTAGTTCCTGGGAGATATTTAGACATCCTGCTCCCCCAGGCAGCTCGGAGCCGGAGCGGCGCCGGGGATGTGCCGCGGGCTGCCGTCCCGGCACTTCCCAGCTGAGCTTTAACCTTCCCCGCTCCCGCCCTTGGGCTTGCGGAGCACTCGCAGCGTGGGGAGGTGCCGGTTCCGTGCGTGGCCCTGGCACCAGCAGCGTTGGGCGCTGGCGTCGCTGCGAGCGGTTGGCAGAGGAAGCCTCCCCCGTGCAGCAGCGGGCGCGGAGAGCGGCAGGTTAGGCCGGGCTTTGCGGCAGGGCTTCCCTTCCGTGTGAGCGGGCCCAGCAGCACAGGGAAGGTGGCGAGTGCCACTCCGGTGGGATCAGCGCTGGTGCCTGTCCCCAGCCTCGCCTGGTGCTCCATGGGCAGAGCAAGGGCCGCAGTGCCCAGAGCCGGGGCCCTGCAGTGCTCGGGCTGCGGGGCTCAGGGTGGACGTTCCCAGCCCACAGATGCACCCGGGGAAAAGGCCCAAGAGGAAATTGCCGCCTTGGCAATTGCAGGGTACAGGGGCCAACAGTGCAATGGGCACCAGCACCGGGCCTGGCGAGAGATGCAGGTGGGAGCCACATGGCTGGGGTGCTCCGGGGTGCTTTTGTAGGAGCTGCTGCAGCGGTGGATGCCCCTGCGGCGATGGGTGCCCCTGCGGCGATGGGTGCCCCTGCAGC